GCAAGTCAAGTGCTAATTCCGCCTTTTTTATCTTCCCCTGATGTGGCGGTGATGAGCTTGGAAATAGTCCAGTTGCACACTTCCCATCACAATATGTCTCCATGGGTCAGAGGAAAACATTTCGGGACGGGATTAAAGAAGGGAGCGCGCAAGGTGAGCGGCCCTCTGCGCATTCAAAGCTCCTCGTCATCTGCCATTTTGCTGATGCTAGTCACTTCCACTCCCGCCCAATACATATTTTCAGGCATGCAGTGCTGATAATCACCCAGTGCACGCCCAAAAAAATTACTTTTTGACGGAAGGCTGTAGACCATTGACTAGATATTTAGCCAGACGCGAGAAAAAAAAATTGGAGGTCGAAACGGCGAACTTGGCGCGATACTGATGCCGGTGTCCGATACTGATACTGATACTGAATATTATGTAATACTTTCGGCGTCTTTGATCCGAGTTGGAAACAGAGCACAACAGACCTCGGGCTTCATGTTTTTCAAAAGCTGGCACTACTAATCCTTAGGAAAGAAATACCCAAGAGTCACAGACATAATACACAGCAGGTTCCCCGCTTAACCGATTTTTCTTTGTGTCCATGGCTCCTCGGGTGGGGGCTGATTAATATTAGCAGGCTGCACCTCCAAACGAAACCTGCAGTTCAAATGTAAGAGGGGGAAGGCCAGAACCTTGAAATTGAGTCGAAGTTGAGTTGAGTTACCCCTGAAGAACTTTCATGCATGAAAACTAATTATTCAACAAATCAGTTGGCTCAATACATGGCGGGGGCATTGAAGCCAAAAATTACAATGCTGGAGAATATTGCTTACTGACCTGGAGTCTTGCAACCAAGATCTCGATAGATGGTAATAGCACACCTCAATGTATTGTTGTCAAATTGTCAATGCAACTGGTGCCGCAGGCGGCAGGCAAGGGAAAAAAACCATCGTCTCTGCATTGCTGCTTCGGGCGCAGCCACTGTCAGCGACATTTTGGAGAGCGATTAAAGCCCAGGGATAATACCAACAAACCGTCATTTCCACCTCTTATTTCAAGCAGCGCCGCAGGCCCGGAAAAAACATGCCGCTGTGACTGTAGGGAAATCATAACACGGCCTGAAAAGTTGGCGGAAAAAAACCGCCAAATTGAGCCAGGCTTCTCAAATCAACCAGCGCCGCAGGCCGGGAAAAAGTCAACATCCGCACGACTGTCTTGAAGTAAAGAGAATAGTTGAAAAGGGGTGACAAGTGAGAGGATCGAACGTGCGCCCTCCACAAAGCAAAATAAGTCAATGGAAAGGGAAAGAAACCACTGCACCAAACATCCGATGGCATTGACTGTTTTAAATACTGACTATGGCGTCCCACGCCTTGAATATTTATTATAATTATTTATTTTCTCTCCACCGACATCAGTATCGGGCCGCGAACTTCTTCGCGGGACATATTTTGACGTATTTGGCGGGAAGGGTTCTAGAAACAACGGGTGCAAATAGTCCTGCGATGGAAAGCGACAGCTCAGCGTCGCCGCTGCTGAGCCTCGCCTGCAGATTCCGTGCGTATTCTGGCCTGTTCACTGGTATGGGGGCTTCATTTGCTGACTCTCGGCAGTCCCGCACGACCAATGGTTCACCACACATGTCGATTCGGACTGGAAAGTCAAGCAGGTAAAATCTTGGCTCCTTGCAAAGTGTCTACCCTATGCTGCGCCGCCCTCGCCACCCCTGCGCCAGTCTGCGCGGAAAAATATGCGCCCTCCTTCCCCCATTACCTTTGCTCCGGACCCCAGGCATCGTCCAATATCCCCCATCACTTTTGCTATGCCCAAGGCAAAAGCAACTGCCGACGACGGGAGCGAGTTCGAGGAGCCACCTCCGGAGGACGACGAGCTCAGCGAGCCAGAACCGCCGCCAGAAGAAATACTACCCCCAATTCAGCCCAAGAAACGGGCTATTCTACCCACTGCGTCGACCTCTGCCAAAGGCGATCTTTACTCGCAGTTTACTTTAATCCGCTTTTCCACCGGACAACTCCTAGAAGATGACTTGCCGCTGGGCTTCTATGATATGCAGGCAGACGAGTTGCTGGAAATACATCGCGTCGGCGTCATTGTTACTCTTCCGCGCGCACATCCTACACGCTACCTGGACGCCTACTGGGAGGGCTGGGTGCGCGTGTTACGCATGCGACCAATGGAGGACGAAGAGGACTCGTATACGCTCTACAAGATCCGTCGCGCAGAAACGCGTGCGTTAGAGTGGCGCGACCGCTGGCTTGTCGTCCGCGAGGGTAGCATCTATCTGTGCCGGGATGAGGTCCGCGTCTAACTTTATTTAGTTCGATGCATTATATTTACTTGCTAGCACCAACAGAGCCGTCTCATTCACACGCTCGCCCTAGCAGACCTTATAGCCCTCACGGATGCCAGCCAACTCCCACCCTCTGCCACTCCGCCGTCCAACACTCGCATCCTCCTTGCCCGTTTTTTCCGCCCACCCCAACTCGCACAACACTACCCGCGCCTCCTCCCCGCTTACTACCTACGACTCCGACTCGTCCTCTGCGCTCTCGTCCCCCGTCTTCGCTCACGACAGCGACGACTCAAACCGGCCCCGCCGCCTCAAGCAACACAGGCGAAAACGCATCAAGCGGCCTGATCCTGAATTCCTCGGCATCGACCTCAAGGACGACTCTGGTATGCCTATTTTCTTTTTCATCATCGAATTTCGCTCATTATAGCTGCAGCCTACGTCTCTCTCCTCCGTGTTCTCCATCGTCATGCGCTACCTCAGTCCACCTTCATTGACTCCCTGCCGGTAAGCGAGCACGTCCAAGCGCCTCGATCAGTACACCCCGACGAGGAGGACGGCGAGGAAGAAGCCCCGCCACCGCTGCGGCATCCTCCTTCGTTAGCACACCTCGTTTCTCGCGGTGGCCTCTCCCTCGGTGCCCTACCGTTCCCCGAATGGCGCACAACACTCGTCCAGCGCGCACGGCGTGCCGGGCTTGGTCGCATTGGGAAGGCGGTCGAGTGGGTACTGTGGAACGGGGATACGCAAGAGGATCCGGACTGGATGCTCGATGCGCCGCGGAACAAGGGAAAGCGGAAAGAGCGCCCGCCACGCGTGCGACAGCCGACAAGCACGGACGGGTATGACTCGGATGTGTCGGGGGATGGGTACACTTCGGATAGGGACGAAGATGATGAAGACAGCGACGATGAAGTTCGGGCGGAGGGCGGGCGGAGCGAGACGGAGTGGGTGGGGTGGATGGGGGATCTGCGGCGGCAAGCTCGGGTGGCGCAGGAGGAGCGGGAACGTGCGAGGTCGCGCGAGGAGGCACGGCGCATAGCGGAAGAGACGCGCGATGCGGAGCTTGGAATGCCTCCCCTTGCGATACTCACCGGCGCCGAGGTAACAATAGCGCGTATCGGGACGGGCGTCGACGATCGTGTAAGGCGCGCCGCCATGGAGCCGACCGCCGTTGTCACCAGTCTCAGCGGGATCAACCCACCGTCGCATCATCCTATAGCACATCACGGGCATAGCAGTCACGCTTCGAGTAGCACCTCCTACGCTCACAGCGGGAGCGGGAGCGTCATTAGCCACATGACGCCTGTGCTCTCTTCGCCCTCCTCCACCGAGTCTATCGGGTTCGCGTTCTCCCCTCTGGCTCCCGCCGAGCTCGAGGACGACACGCACTCGGTAGCCCACTCTCACGTAGTGCACACCCGGGCGCACTCACACACGCTGCTGCATTCGGTCTCGATGCACGATGCGCATTCGGCGTTCTCACCGCCGCTCAGCTCCGTGCCCTACGACGCCTTTGGGCGCCGGCCGAGTATGCCTGTCATAGGGACCGCCGCGCGGTGGGGCGAGGGCACCCGCGCGTCGAGTGTGGAGCGCGAGCGTGAGCAGTCAGTGACGAGCCAAAGCCAGACGAGTCTGGGCGGTGTCACGGAGGTGCCGCGCATGACCGTCGCGCGCAACGGAAGCGTCAGCGGTTCCAATTATAAAGGGCTGCTGCGGAAGAAGGATAGGGAGCGTGAGGGGAAGGAGAAGGAGAAGGAGAAGGAGAAGGAGAAGAAGGAGAAGGAGAAGGAGAAGAAAGAGAAGGAGAAGGAGGTGGACTGGCGGAAGGTCAGCTCGTTGGGGTCGGGGGCGAGTTCGCGGCCGCGGTTGTCGGTGTCGACGGAGGCCACAGGGAGGCCGTCGAGGGGGGCGTTGAGTCCGCCAGGGACGCCGCATGAGCGGGATCGGGCCACGCCGTTGGGGAACGCGCCGCCGGCTCCCGTGAAGAAGAAGAAACGGGGCCTGGCGCGCGGGGTGTCGATACGCGCGGAGAAGCTCGTGAAGAGCTTAGATTCGGCGCTGGATTTCGTTGATGGGCGGTGATGTTTTTTAAATCCTTTTCGTGTACATATTTACTGGTTTTTTTCCCTAGTTCGCTTTCGCGTTATGTATGTAGTTTGCGTGCTCTGCTAGTCATTATTGTACCGTACAGCTCAATTAATTCGTAGTCCTGCTCAAATTATATTATTTCAGAGTATGACTACCTGAAGAGCCGGAAGCGGGCGGACAGAGGTCATTCGATCGTAGATCCCTTGCACCGATCTACGCAAGGGAAACCTGCTGGACCAAGACAAAAGGCACACTCGCAGCGTCTGCAATCCATGCAAGTCTAAGAAAAACCTATTGACCCGAGGCAAAAAGATTCGCATTGCCAGGATGAAGTAAAACGCAGGGAAATTTTATACGCAAGTTCGATGACGCCGTTGAACCGATCCACGCGAGAAAAGCCCTGCTGCTCAACCGAAAGGGAACACTCGCAGCGCGTGCCTCGCTCCCAGGATGAAGCAATTAAAAGTAGCAGGAGAAAAAGTTGACCACACCATCGCACCTGGTTGAATACCACGTGTGGCCAGTCGCGCATAAGCGGCACCCGTAGTGTGTCCACCAAGTACAACAAACGAGGTACGAGATTTTTTGTAGCGTCTGTTTATAAGAGACTATCCACCAAGATGGATCGAACCTCCGCTCTCTGCCGGCGACCAGCGAACAAGGCAGGGGGTCTTAACCGTTAGACCATAGTGGAGTCTGGACATTGTGGAATATTTCTCTACTGATTATGCTCCTGCGCCATTATTGCAGGTAGTCGAGCGCATTATTACTGGCAGTCGAGCACATAATTATTACTGTCAAAATACCCTCAATGATTTAAATCGGCGACTAGAAAAGCATTCATTTTTTTTTGACCTGCAGACGGAAGCAAACGCTAAGGGTTAATTGGATCCCCATGGAGTGATGATGGAGCGGGAGAAGCGAGGAGACGCGTCAGTGGCGGTGCCGCGCCATCACCGCCAAACCTCCTCTCCTCTTCCACCCACTCCCACCCACCTACGCAATGCCCTACACCGCCGACGCCCTCGACGACGCCGTCCTCGCCGAGCTCGAGTTTCATACGTTCCCGTGTTTCCCGTAACTATTCAATGATTTCAATCCCGACCCGAGTAGCCTGCGTGCTTTCGGCTGGAGAGCCGCAATGAGGTCGATCCCGAGCGGTTACGGATCTTCGCGGACGAACGACAATGGCTGCGGGATATGGGGCGGGCTATGTTGCCGCCCGGTCCCCCATGAAGTTGTATGCTCGGTGGTTGAAGAGCGTTCCGGGTGCATGTTCAGGTCACCTGTATAGCCCACATAACACCATGTATTGATGCTGGAGATAGGACTGATCTCCAACATCAATACATGGCGATCAGCTCCATTCTCCAGCACGGCTTAATTATGCTTAACTATTAGCTCTTTAAGGCAAATAGCTCTGAGTCATCAAAGATATTTAGTAGATCTCTTGGATATGAAGCCGAAGGCCATCAGTTCCCGGCGCGCACCATCGTAATTGATGCGAGGATTGCGCGCCATCACCCGCCATCATTTATGACCCGAGCGCTGCGGGTGTCGACAGCAATCGATGGCCCATCAAAGACCTTCGGGATATCAATCCCGTTGGTTTCGGAGCCCATCGGTGTATAGTTGATAGCATCGTGAAATGCCGAAATCTGATCAGAAAGTGCCGGCTGTGAGAACATATTTTGAAGTTTACGGGCCAGCGGTTTGGCTGATCGCAAGATCTGAGGGGTGACTGTCGTAGCCCTTGAAGAGCTATACAATTTGGGCACAGAGATCAAAGGTTTGGCGGATGACCTTCCTTTTTCGGCACTACCGCTTTTCTTCCCAAAAAGGCAATTATCGATATCGGCCATCCCTGGCTCATGATTCCCCCGCCTTGAAAAGTATAAAGGGACAAATATGTCGTTCTATATAGCCTTGATCTGGTAGGAACACTGTAAAACCTATTAGATGACATTAAGAAGATGAAAATACCATGAATTGATATCTGAGGTATGGCCCTGCCGGGCGGAGCCTGGATACGCTACACACGGTCATATTTCTATACGCCACACACGGTCATATTTCTAAAATAACTACATTCGACAAACATCTTGTATGAGAGCGTAGCATAAAGGTTATCCTGCCCTCGCCTTCGTCGATGCTGAGAGATCCGGGTTCCAATACATCCTGCAATCCAGCCCGGTAAACGACCGACCCACGGTCTTCCCCACGAACCGCCCGTGCTTCGGTCAGCGGATGCGAATCTGGAACGTTCCCCGGCACATGATGTGTTAGATAGACACGCTCACTTGAATGCATGGAAAAAATGAACCTATGCAGCTCACATCGCACAAGATGGACAACAACAACACGCAACGGGAGTCGGCGGAAGGTTTTGACGAACCGAAAGGTACGACTCCGATGTTCCTCCTGTGTAGAACTTCGGTCACCACAATATTCGTCGCGAGGATGCACTTGCGCGTTTTGCGCGGAGTCGGGGCGAAGGTGCGGTGCAGCTGCACGCCGGAGAGCGCCGCGTACATGGGCACGGTGAGCACCTCGTCGTGGCCCGGGGGGGAGTTGGTGCGCAAACAGCTGGATGGCCTTTTCGAGCGACTCGATGTCCTCTTGCCCGGGGAGGAATATGAGGACGTCGCCCGGCGGCTGGTCGACGTGAATCTGGAAGAAGGTGCACATCTCTGCACCATTCCCATCAGTCGCTGTGCTTGTGAAAGACGGGCAGAAGAACACACCCTCGAGAAAGTCCACCGCGTCCGACTTGAAGAGGTTGTACGTGAGCTCAAACACGGGCCAAAGGTTGGGTGAAATGGCGCGGAGCTTGAAGGTGAGGCTGTCCACCAGCTCATACATGTTGTCGAAGAGGTCTAACATTTCGTCATCAGCACAACGAACGACCTTCCCCAAGGGAAGACGCACCGAGGATCTTGTGCTTGAACGTGAACGTGATAACAGGGATGATAACCTCCTGCACCTGCGCCAAAATCTCCGGCGCGTTCTCAATGGATGTGATGATCTACACCCACATCCTTCCTCATCAGTCCTCCGTTCTCCTCCTTCGTAAATGGACAAAATAATGCACCGTCCCAATCGTCTTGGCAACCCCCATGGCAGCATACATCTTGTCCTCGTCCGCATTAACCATAATCACCTCAATGCTCGTGTCCACGTCCGCATACGACTCCTCCGCAACCAAGCTCTCCTTGATGAGGCGCAGGTACGAGTCGCACTGGGGAGGCATGCGTTAGCCAGGCTTTCCATCATCAACGGTCGGTCGACGTACGAGCCGGTGTGAGCTATCACTTTGTGATACGCTCAAGCGCGGCGGAAATCAGTAACGAAACGACTCACGGAGGAAATCACGATAAGCCTCAGAGACCACACGGCATGCTACGGCTGTCACGGAGGGTTTTCCCACGGTTGAAAACTGACCCGGCGGACGCTCTCTGCGCGGACGGAAAGGTAACACACTGCAACGGAACACACGCACTACGGAACACGACTACGGAACGCTCGCGGAAAAAAGGTAGCAAAATTGCCAACAAAGGCCCGACCTCGAATCGAACGAGGGACTCGCAATTACGCAATATTGTGAAGAGAAGTACTACAAATGCGCGCGTTACCAGTTACGCCACCGGGCCTATACTGCAAATAGTCATGAAACAACAATCGACACCCACGGAATCACTCACAGTCGAATACTGGCGCACGCTCTCTCCGTGACGGAAAAATACACCTACGGAGCGTGGGAAAAAGCGAATAAAGGCCCGACCTCGAATCGAACGAGGGACTCGCAATTATGCAATATTGCGAGGAAACCGACAATGCGCGCGTTACCAGTTACGCCACCGGGCCTATACTGCAAATAGTCATGAAACAACAATCGACACCCACGGAATCACTCACGGTCGAATACTGGCGCACACTCTCTCCGTGACGGAAAAATACACCTACGGAGCGTGGGAAAAAGCGAACACGGCCTGACCTCGAATCGAACGAGGGACTCGCAATTGTAATATCGCGCAGAAGTTGACTGCAAATGCGCGCGTTACCAGTTACGCCACCAGGCCTATACCTCGAACAACCAGCAATCGATATCAAGGAGTGCCACACGGACATATTCACGGACGACTTACGGATCGCTACGGGACATGCGAAGCGACGGGATCGGGCAAACGTAAAGGTTGTGGGGGCAGGTTTCCGTCGAGCCTAACGGAAGGCGTGTGTGTCAACTTAACGGAGAACATGGGAGTCGAACTTCGCGGAGGGCATGTGAGGATCCACAGGAAGGACAATACAACGGAGGCTTCACGGAGAAGTTCACGCGCGGTAATCGGGCGGGAATACGTATAAAAGCCAGATGTATTTACCAAGGAATCATCTTGTTATCCCCCACTGCTCACACCTAAGCTACCCTCCCCCCAGCCTTACGGGGCGGAGTTGTCTCTCTCATATACACATAATAGCTCAGGCTACGCCGTCTTCCGTGGGGCTAGCTAAATAGGTCACTTGGATTGAAGGTTCACCAAGGAACCCTTTCTAAAGGTCCCTTCGACTCCGTAAAAACGGGTCGAGAGGAAATTGTTGAATACAAAGGCGTTGGTCACGGCGCAGTCGATGAAAAGCGCGTACTTCTAAACAGCCAGCAGCCCCTACTTAGCTGCGTGCAACTGTTGTATTGGAGGCTCAAACGCAGATCCGTGCGCAGGGCACCACTCCCCATCTTCACGGAAGGCTTATCCGTGAAGACTATAACCACTCCACCATTTCATTTGAAACACAACTTCACCACACTCGTCACGGAACCTCATCCGTTGCGCGTTCACACAAGCACAGGAAGAAAACGGGCTACGGAGGAAAAGAGCTATAGCCCGCTCGCGCTGTGTTAAAACCCACGTTTTAAAAGACACTGCTTGCCCGAGTAATACGAGGCAGGGAGAAAAGAGAAACCCCCATATCACCCAGGTCTCCCGGCTCGGATCGACGCTCGCATTGCGAAGCTCTATTCCTTCGCGCAAGTGTAGAGCGACCTCCAACCACGGCTTTCCTGGAAGGCTAGCCCCCAACGAGGAACTAAAAACCTCGAGGAACCTAGCGCTCACATCCTAAATCCTCACGGAAACGGATTGTACCATCTCACCACCACCACCACAATTATATAAACCTTCCATAGCGTACGAGTAGCTACGTTTCTCCGCGACAGAGTAATTTCCCTCTAGAGGACGAATCACCTTCGTGTACTTGCCTGAAACCAATTCACTGGTCAGACATCTCACGGAACCGCAGTCCGCATCACACCGGGCAGTCAATTGCGCCGCGACAGGGAGGAGCTCCGTCTGGAACGCCTCGACCATAACCTCCATGCTGTGGTTGAGGATATCGAGGTCCGTCTCGTCGGAGAGCTTCAGCAGGTCCTGGATGACCTTGCCCACTTGCGGCGACACGGCCGTCTTGACTAGAATACTCGCATCAGCACGCATGGTCTTCATCGAGTACCGAGATGGAGGTACGACGCACCAGAATCGTACAAAACCACCATCTCAGTGAGGGTCAACGCCGCCTGCATGCGCACGGGCAGCTCCTGGTCGTCCAGCGCTGCGGTGACGGCGCGAAATTGGCGCTCAGGTGCTGTAATACCGTCAGCGGCCAGAAAAACGCGTAGAAAACCAAAACCAAAACCGCACC